AGACAAAACTAATTGCCACTACTAACAAATGTATGTAACAGTTTATAGTACAGGTGGTTTCAATAAACACTGCCTTGTTACTTAATACATCCTGTTAGAAGAGATTACCAAACGATACAGACACCATAAATTACAAAGAAAATTACTTTACAGCACTTAAAAGATTAGTCCTGGTCACATTCCTCTCATTACAGGCAAGATTTATGTTGGAATGCGAAACTTAAGCACTTCAATGTATTAGACCCCCAACTGTGAGAATGTCTTAGCTTCCCTGTATTGTTGGGATGAATGTATTTAGCCTGTTTCACAACCAACATATGGGTTTTATTGTTGTCACTACTGAGTTTGAACCATTTGCAAAATATCAGAATAAACTATATATATATATATATCACTTAGACTGTTTTAATTCTAACGCAATAACAGCAGAAGTGGGGGTCTTACTACAAAGCAAAGATATAAAATTATTTTGTGGTACTAATAGTATTACTTACAAATCACACACGTTTTTCATTCTAAATACTGAATCATATTATTATTATTATTATGAACTAAATATAAAATTATGCTATATTATTGAGCTTAAAACTGCAAATTTAAATTCAAAAGAATATAAAAAATCACAAACTCTTTCAGTTCAAAGTCCTAAGTCTAATTCATGTAAAGACTTTGCACTCGGTAACTCTTAACCCTAACAATCGTGGATCAACTTCTTTCCTAAAAAATATATCTATTTTGAGTTAATTTTTCAACATAATGATTAATATAAACAGATATACCATGCAGCATGACTTAAGCTACTATATAAAAAAAAATAAAAGTCACTATATCCCATGCAGTTTTTTTTCAGAAGCAACTTTTCTACCGCTTATAGAAAAGACCCATTGGCCAGTACTAAATACAACCTCTACCTAAAATGGCAGTTACTATAATAAGCACCATCCACATTCATATTGTAAAATCCAGAGAACAACGTTTCATCACGTGCTTTCCTTATCATCCTATGATTTGTCAACTGGGAGATACAGTAACTGGTACTGAAATTGACACTTTCGTAAAACTTTTAGCCAATCCTAGTGTTAAACCTCAGTTGATGCCCAGACGCAGTTTTATAAAGAAAACAGGAAATATCTTAAAAAAATTTTTGAAAAAAACATTTCTTCTTAGAGGGTGCTTATTTACAGTCTAAAACGTATTTTAGGAATTTTTTCATTAAATTCCTCTTTAAACTTCATTAAAGAATACAATTTTGTACAAATAATTTAATGTTATGCTACTATTTATAGAAAATAAAATCAGAAATCCATTAAAAGATAAGTTCTCTATCATTTTTTCAATTCACAAATGCACACTTGCATTGCCTACTAAGAAAGTTAGTACCGGTAGTCATCGGGTTAAGGTCAATTTATTAGCATCCTTAATTAATATGTCTTCTGTATATATGCAATTTTGTTGTGTGTATGATTTATTCCAGTACAAAAACGTATATGGGTAATGAAACAACTTTACAACTTTTTATTATAAGAAAAAAAATTACATTGTGACAGAAGATGCTGATCTTGTATGGTTATCATGTTTATGAGATAGTCTAATAGTCTATGCCAAATATAATGCATGGCAACTATATATTTCCTCATGGCACCTTGTATTTTCTCCCATTTTATTCGAGCAGAGGGCTGTGCTAAAAAGAACTTGAATCTAGAACAGTTCTGGACTCTTGGAAGTTTTGTTTTTCTTCTTTCTCTCAATTCAACCAATCAGTGCACATGTTTAGACTCAAACGGGACCAAAGGCAGTTAATTCAGGCAATACCATCAAGTGGTTGTTGAAATTATGTGATCATTAGCATTGCTGTGAAAGTAAATAAATTTATGTAGCCCCCCCATTTCTCAGTACAAACAGTAGTGACATTAGGTTAGGCACACCTGGCTTCTGAGTTTTTGGGCTGGCTCCTAGATCTGAAAATATTTGTTGAGGCCTTTTCTAAGGTGTATATGGTTTTATAAAGTTTATGCAACAATCTCAAGAGCTAAGGTTTAAATTACTGCACTTTTAAGTAAAACAAATCCATTGTCTCTAACAACATTCTTCAACTGTGAGAAAAAGTTATAATTATCAAGAACACTTATGTACTTGCATTAGTAGGGTGATTCACTCAATATAATCTATTACTTATGAGCATATAAAATAATCAACTAATCAAAATTACAATTAAATTGATTAATGTGATAAAAAAATAATCAACTAATTGAAATTAGTCTTTCCAATTATTACTGTTTTTAATTACTCCAAATCCAAGCAAACAAAATATTACCATTATGATTTCTCAATATTACTTTTGATTAATTCAAAGTTGTTCAGCTTAATCACTTAGTGTCACAATTCATGAAAATAATAAACTAATCAAAATTAGCATTTCTAATTATCAATATTTTCAATTGTTCCAACTATTCAAGTCTCACTTAAGAGTAAGTAATTAGCTGAATGTAATTTAATTAATGAGCCCAAAGGTTAAATTCATTAGATGATTCCATTAATTGCCCAATCTTAATTCAAAGACATCAAAATTCACAGCCTATATGATTGAAGTAAAATGGACCAACCTTGGAAAATTCATACAAAGAAATTTTAGTTTTTTTATACACATAACACTTTAAATAGCTGCACTGAGTTTCAAACTAAATGAAAAAACAACAAAGCTATTGCTAGTAGAGGTGAACAATTAACTTTATTAATTTGTAACAGACTAAAACAAATAGCCTCTACAACCAGGGTTGAATGAAAAAAAAATTATTAAACTTTCAAAGCCATAGAAATCCAAAATAAAACTTTAAAACAGTTGGAATATAAATTTTATAATTTACCAGTTGATAAATATGTATCTGGCCAAATACAACATAAATATCAATGTTAATAATTATTTCAATAAATAAAGGAATCAGAAAAAAAATCAGAAGAAAAACTAATTCCAAAATAACAACACAATGTTCCAAATATTTCTCGTGAAATAACTTGTTTTAGCTTAAGGCAGGGTTTTTATTTAGTGACTAGCGAATTTAGATAATCTTTCTCAACATTAATATCTATACGTTACTGCTAGGGAAAACTTGTGTCAGTTTCATAATACATACATACAAACTAAAATTCAATGTGTTCTAGTTAGCACTTTAATATAACTAAAAATTCATTGTTGAACTAGATAGAAGGAATAATAATGATAAACAAAACCATAACAAAATAAAAGTAGAATTTGCTATCTCACAAACTGATATAATCAATTTCAATAATTAGTTACAAAAAATAATTAATCAATGTTACAATCAAATTAATTAGTCACGAAAATAATAAACTTGTCAAAATTGTCAATATTCTAACTATACAAGTAATAAAGATATTGTCTTTATGATTGCTCATTATTTTCAATTAATTCAAGGTTGTTTAACTTTCACAACTCACAAAAATAATCTAACATTAGTATTTGTTATTATTACAATTTTTGATCATTTCAACTATCCAAGCCTTATGTGAGAATAATTGATTAGTTTAATGTAATCAATTAAAGAACTTTATAAATCCTAAGGGTAACTGCCTTCCCACAACTGGCTGCAAACAGTGAAAGGCAGTAGGAGTTGAGACATTGTAGGTGTAAGCACTCAGCTCTGTACCCTTAATTGATTTTCCATAATAGATGGCTAGTTTAACATCAGCATTTGTATGTGTGTGAGCAATATTTCTACATTTACTGCTAGTTGACATGCATTACTGACTAAATAAAAGCAATGACAAAAATTAAACTATGGTATATTATTTATTTTCTTAATAATTCTGTAATTTTTGAGGCACATTTATATTCTATGAAATCAATGATTATATTGCACATATGTAAGACATGGTGGAGTTGCAAAACTTACCCATCAAAGAACAATCGAATCACAACAGCTAAAAAATTATAATATTGAATGATAGGCTTTCTAGGCAGTGACTCATGGTAGCCAAAAGTTCTATCTCAAATACTAATTTTAGACAACTATAATTCAAAATTAATAATAATCTAATTAAAAGGAATGTGAAAAAACCCATCTCTAGTTAAGCATGATATTAATCACTTCTGTTAGCCCTAAGAAGCTTCATCCCTTAGCAACAATGAGCATTTTACACTTGTGCAACATTTTTAATTGTTTCTACAAGTTTCACTAATTTCTTGTTACAGTAGTATCAACTGAAGGGATAGTAATTGTAAATCAACAGACGGTAAATAAAGTACACACTACAGATTAACTTATGTGCTATCCATATGACAACAATTAATTTCCACGAGGACACCACATTAACTTGTAGCTCATTACTGTGCATAATATTACTATTAGGCCTAGTAACACTAACATTCAGGTTATTGCTCCTTATTGAATTATAAGATAATCAGTCTATAGTATAGACTATAGAGTAATAATATATAATACTAATAGACTGATACTTTGATGTGCTCCAGTAGTACTACTAATACTACTTCTACTAGTACCAGTAGTATTGTTGACAATCTTATACTTGTGAAGTTGTTGTAACTTACAAGTCATAGTGTAAATAAAAAGTTCAGTCAATATGTAATCCACAGAGGTGAAATAAATTTTGAATATGCTTAATAATATTATTATCAATGCCTACAAGATGGTGTTATTGGGTTGCAAAAAACTCACTATAAATTAAACTTGTTTAAGTATGAAAGGCTGAATATCATTGCAATTTAATTTTTAAATAGCACTAAGCATATTGAATATCAAATTAAGTTTTTTGAACTCTTTATTCAAAAACTTTAATATTAAGCTTAGCTTAGTTTGCTGTAAACACGTTTTGTAATTGTAATGTATAATTTGTGTCATACAAAATAAAAACAAGTACGAGTCTACTACATTCGTAAACTAATTTCAGTAGGCAGATACCATTGTTTAGATCATTATTAAAATAATTTTATGAACATCAAATGAAAACAATTTTATTTTTATCAAAATTTTCTTGTTCCTCTTCAGTTGTAAAGGCTTATTTAATATTGAACTATGTAGGTATAGATCATTTAGAATTGTAGTATAGTGATTATGCAGCTGACAACAAATGAAAAATCAAAATTATGATATATGATTAGGAGTTAACATTTAGTGTGTAAAAGTTTATAGTATTTTAGGTGGATATATTAACTAATTAGCTGATTTGTAATATTAAAGTATGCTAACTAAACTTTGTAACTATACACAAGAAATAAAAGCAGAATCTGTATTGCTGACTACAAGCATTAAGGAGGCAAGGTATGTAATTCTTAAATATCTATTAATAGGGCTGGGAAATTAATCGATATAATTGATCCCTTTAGACAATCAATTGCATTAATTAGTGTCACATGAAATAATGAGATAATCAAAATTATACTTCAATTTGTTAATATCATGAAAATAATAAACTAGACAAAAGTCGAGACTTTTGAAAGTCGTCCTTTATACTTTTGTTTCTACAACAGGCAGTTGCCGTCCATTCTACAAAGTTTCATCATGAATACTCTGCCTAAACAATCTAACAAGGAATATATTAGTGTTTCTAGTTATTACAGTTTTTGATTATTCCTACAATCCAATAAGTGAAATATTGCCATTGTGTGTGTTTGTTGGTAAGCACAAAGATATGTAATGGGCTACCCATCATATACCCACCAAGGGTATTGAAAACCAATTCTTAGAATTATAAGGTTTTTTTTAACTATCTAATTGGAGGACAATGGACTAGTTTGTGTTTTTTAGCTGTCTCATGATAATAGTCAATTAACCTGACAATTAATTGATTAACAAATTCCATTAATCACTGAGTTGTATTTGTTAGGAAGTTGTGGTTGTGTGATATATAAAAGAATGAATATATAATTGCTATCCAATGCAACACAAATTCACATTAAAACCAGGTAGGTAGGAAAATATTCTATTTCAAATATATATATATATTTTTTTAATTTATGCTCTTTAAAAATGGAATTTCAAAACTAAATATATGTTGCTATGATGTAATCCATTTGTACAATCAAGTTTTTTAACCATTATATGCATACAGTAAAAGACAGAGGTCTTTAATATTACAGGTAAATATTTTATTCTAATTATGTAAAAACTTGTATTTGATCTGCTGATGCTAATTCATGACCATGCCTCTAATATAAGACTAGGCAACTGTGCATTTCATAACTCCTCCTGCCCAAAAGCTTGTACTTGCTGTAAAAAATTTAGATATGGAACATTAAACAGTAAGCTATCATACCACTTTAACTTTGTAAATTGTGTGAAAAACAACTTTTTGTTATTAATTTGCCTTTTTTGAAGTATATATTTGTTCAATTCATAAATATAAAAAAGTTGATACAATGAAGGGTTTTATTTTGATTTATAATTATATTCTATACTTAAAAAAGTAAGCATGCCTGAGTTTTAAGTGTAGTTTTTTACTGCAAATTGTTGGATAGTTGTTATTTTCCCCCGAATTAAAACAAAAGCAAAATTAGCTATCTGAACAACTAATCTGAGAAAGCAGATTATGCAATTCAATTTATTTACTGAAACAGTTTACATATATGGAAACAGTTACTGAAAAATTAATCCTTTGAAGAAAACTAAAACTTTGCTTTCTTATTTGTAGCTGAATAGACTTATTATGAAACCACAATTCTTTCTTAATTTAATATAATTTTGTTAAAGTTTAGAAAACAAAAAGCTCATTTTTTTATCCACAGTTAAGAAGGTAGCCCTTAATCAGTACATGATGATGAATGATAAATCATAGTGACTATTTTGTTGTCAAAAAACTAAACTGGTGTTAACAGTTTAAGTTCTAACCATTTGTTTACACTGTTTTAGTCAAAGAAGGATTACATTATGAGTACGAGAACGAATAAAACATATGCTTAGTTTGCCGCTTAGTTACTAACTGTTATTGTTAAGATAGTATTACTGTTACTATTAGATTAGTATTACTACTAGTAGTTGTAACATGATTAACCCTTACCAGTGCAAAGAAATTTGTGTGGCTATCCTCCAGACTCACCCCGTTTGATACAAAATTGGGATTCGTCATGTTCACTCCATGATGAAATATTTTATTTATTAAATATGAAAAACACTATGTTATCTCAAAAGCCATGAAAAGAGATGACAAAAAAAACAAAACAACAACAACCACTAGTTGGTGTATATTACATTATCAGATAAGATCATGGCGATCACGTACAACATGGCGTTAAATAACACGTTCGATTGGTTATTTAAAGTCACATGCCGGTGCTCTCAAGTTAAATATGGTGACTTATTCTACACGTGGGCTTTTTATTATTTATAGATCTTGCTACTTGAAACGTTAAGCCTTTATATTTTACCACTGTTGTTGTTTAATTGGAGGCGGTATAAGTCTATGTTGTTAATTTCTTATATGTATGTTGGATTCATTTTTGGACAAGAAAAGTTAAATGTAAGATCGGCTTCACATTTGTTTGTTTTTTGAAGTTTCTCAAAATCTGCTTCTGTAGTCTTCTTAGGTAGGACTTGAAATGCTTATGTTTGTTTGTTTATAGTTAAACGCAAAGCTACACAATGGGCTATCTGTATTGTGCCCACCATAGGTATCGAAACAGGTTTCTAGCGTTAGAAGTCCACAGACATGCTGCTGTGCCACTGAGGGGCGAAATGTTTATGTTTGTTTGTAATTAAACACAAAGCTACACAATGAGTTATCTGTGCTCTGCCCACCACGGGTATCGAAACCCGGATTCTAGCGTTGTAAGTCCCCAGTCAAACCGCTTTGCTACTGGGGGGCAAATGTTTATGGACTGAATGTTCGGTAAATATAATGTAGTAACAGCATGAGTGGGGTTTCTCGTTAGAAAAGCAGGCCACAAAACATTGAGATCCAGAATATTTGTTGTTGTTTTATTTAGTAGATGGGGCACTAATTGGTAACCTCGGTTTACTTGCTATAAACTATTATTTTTTTCGAATTATTTTTAAAGTTGTATATTATGTTTTGAAGACAGGATCTCTCCCTGAATCAGTTTGTTTTGTTGTTAAGCTCAAAACTACACAATGGGCTGTCTGTTCTGTGCCCACCATGAATATCGAACAAGCCTTGTGTTTAGGTGGAGCGAACCAGAGCGCCGTTCCTGTTGTAGAATGTCCAATGACATATGTAAATTTAAAGATATGTTATCACAATCGTACCAATTTATTTCGTTTATGCAGGCCTGCTTCATTGCAGGCCTACTTTGCGACATATGATTCTTTTACATTTGAGTTACTTTTCTGTGTCATCATACATTGTGACGTCATTAAATAATCGAAATAAGATACTTTTTTGCAAACATATCAAAATGTCAAAAGCCTTTGGAAAGGTACTTATTATAATCATATCCAGGATACAGTATATACGTATGCAAAAATTTAGTTTATATATTATAAGTTATTGCTTAATTTTCTATCACGGTAAAAATTTCGTAAAATCGATTATCCCCATCTGCTCACGCCACCTTTTCACAGGATAATGTTGTGCTATCTTTCATTTACCTTAGGTGTAAAACCAAATTTATCACTCCTTTTCCATCATATTCAATCGCCATTCAATAATTTAGTTCACATTCACACTTCAAATACACCAAATTACAAATTAGACCTGTATGAATTAATTCTGAACAATCCATGGTCACCCTAGATAATCTTCTGTCCCCGAAGGATGTCAGTTTTGATGATGATCAGATTCCTAATGCTTCTATTGTGGTACCATCAAATTATTATGAAATCGGATTATTTAAAAGCATCATCAAACAGAATGGGGTTACTGATTATGTAGCAGTGTGTAATACAAATTCAAGAAGCCTCATAAAAACAAATTGGAATACGATGCATTTTTTTTTACGTTTTATATGATGAAACTAATTTCACTTTTGATTGTTAACATTGTTACGTCTCCGTTTGTTAATTGATTTTCCGTAACTTCGTT